CCCCGGCCGGGCCCCGGAGTTGCTGCCTGCCCGCCGGACCGCGCGCCGCTCGCCCCGGAGTTCGCCGGCATCCAGCGCTCCGCGTCCGCGGGGGAAGCCAGAGATCCGTTTAGAGGCTCCAAAAAAATTTTTTTTTACAAAGCAGTTTGAGCAGGTCTCAATCAGAGGCTGCAAAAAAGAATTACAGCTACGGGAGAGCGCGACTGATGACTGGTAACTGGTGAGGAGGGAAATGCCTGCAGTGAGCTGCAGGCTAGCCCATCACGCCGGAATTCTTCAAGAAGATGAGAAGGGGGAGGGTGGTCATTTCTAGGGCTGCCCGAGTGGGTGCTTATTTCCAGCAGGTTAATGGGCTGTGGGGAGAGGGAAGGCGAGGTCTAAGTTGTACCTTTAGACCTCCTTAATTCTTGGGAAAGTGTGTGTGTTTTAAAAGACCATTTGGTTGCCAAAAGAGTGGTGTGGGGGGTGTCTCCTTTAAAGCATGCTTTAAAAGGGGGTGTGTGTCCAGGAGTTTAAGAGCGGATTAAACTGGGCAAGGTACCTCATGCCTCGCCTCCATTTCCCCAGACCCAGACTAGCCAGGGCATACCCTGCATCTTTAGTGAGACAGGAAGAGCCCCTCCAGTTTTCCAGGGGTTACTTGTTGGCGGTACCTGGTAACCTGCTCCTTAAGAAATGGTCAGCTAACTGTGATGATGAAGATTTCATTGTGTTCTGGAGTTTCAGCGTAATTCCTTCAGAATTTACCTGTATGAGATGACCAAAGAAATCTACTTGATGTGGAGATATGCTCATACCGCTTCAAAGCTCTTTTAGTATTCTTTATTCCCTATATTGTAAGTTGTGTTTCTTTAGGAAGCACTCTGATATTCAGACATCTAAAACACACCCCAGGTCTGAGAAATGTCTACATTCACCAAGAAATCAATTTATGAGAGAAGTTTACAATTTTTTTTTTTTTTTTTTTTTTTTGAGGAAACAAAACTTGTTAGGGGGACTCATACTCATGTTTATCAGTTGTAGGGAGTCAGCTTGGGTGGTTTTCTGAGATGAATGAAAGTAAAAGATGTTGCTGTGAAGCTCATGGAAGTGTCACAAATAACCCTAATAAAGTGAAATATCAGCTTTCACCCAATGGATTGGAATACAAAGCAAATAAATGGGAATAATTTCAAATTATGTCAGTGATTTTTTTTTTTTTTTTTGAGCGGGTAGGTAGTGAGAAAGAAAGGATTTTGAGGGTGAGGTAGGTGGCACAATTTGAGAAAGGCATGTGCTATTATTTTTAGAGAAAGATTGTCATTTTTCTTTATAAACTACACAGAGAAGATGCACTGTTTAGCCTGTGGAAGGGAGGTAGGCAGTCTGAAAGATTGAGAAATACGGATTAGGTTTTGCGGGCCAACTGGAGGATTGGCACGCTTAGATCAACTTGACAGAAGCTGGTATCTCAGTGACCCGTGGGACTATGTTTTATCCTCTGATTCAGTAAAAGCTCAGTAATGTTGTTCTCAAGGCAACAGCAAAATGGTTTCCTTTCTTTCTTTTGTCCCCTAGGTCAGGGACAGGGAGGATGAAGAGTGAATGAGAGAGATTAGAGTCCGACCTGTATGCCTAAGCAGTCGTGTCTTTTGGGGAGGATCTGTGTCACACTGTGTAAATTTAAGAGCTTTCACATTGAAAGACGTCAGAGCGCCTTCCTTACCGTTTGGTGTGTGGTAGAAGATAAAGCTGGGTAGCTCTGCCACAGGTGGGGACACTGAGTGAGATCATCTGATAGAGAAGCACTGGGGAAGAGGAGAGAGGGGAAATGTTTAATTCCGTGAATCTGTGCGGCTTGCCTTGGAGCCTCAAGGTGCATTTCCAAGCAGAGCCGCATCTTTTGGCTAACCTGATTGGGCTTTGTACGGCTACCAGTGGACCTGCAGTTCTTGCGGGGAGGCTTCTGTGGAGGCTGCCTGTCTCAGGCTGTAAGCGTCAGTTAGATTATAATGTGCTCTGGAAAAGAAAGTCTCACAAAGACACAAATCTGGGTTACTGTTCTTTGGGGTCCTGGGCACCTGTCATCCGGAGGCTTTCCAAAACAGGTTTTACCCTCCCTTCCAGTAGATGGCGCTGCTGTCTCTGGGAATTCCTGGAGGAACTGCTCTTCACGGCCATCAAACTAGCAGCATGAAGCCTCTAGTCTCAAAGTTATGGAGACTGTCAGCTCTTCAGTCAAGAGAATCTCAAGCAAAATAGTATTGGTAAACATAACTGTGCAAGGCAGGAATAATGTGTGTTGTGGAGAATGAGGTGTGGTTGTGATTACTTTGTATGTGAGTTACTGAGGGGAGGAGACAGTAATCTGGCAAGTATCACAGCATAATGTTTAAAGGCATTGGGAAAACATGTGGTTGGTTAACTAAATATGATATATTGACCATAATTGGTTCAGTTTTCCGAACAACTTTCATTGTTTCTTGTTATTGGCATGTAAAGCTACTCTACACATGGTTGGGACCATGAAAATATTACATGTGACTTTAAAATCTGATTAGTATTTAATAGTTGCATATTCTGAAAATAGTGGGAGTACTAATAAAAATAATACTGATTAATCACCATCTCCAGAGATGGCCATAGAGGGTAGGACAAAATACAAAAATTTGTAACAAATGTTTTTAAATTTCTTAACTAATGTTGATCTTTTAAGATTGTACTAAACACCAAAAACTTGAACTTTGGGTTTGTTGACATTATTAAACAGGGTTTCTTCACTCATCCCCCAGTTTTGAGAGAATTATTCTTTGTTCTTTGACTGGTATGGACAGTTAATTTTTTGAGATGGATTTTGTGGACTTAATATTTGAGGGAAGTGGGTACTTGGTAGGTCATAGAATAGAAAGAAGGCCTCAGCTGTGACCATGTTTGAGATACAGTGTGCTGCCTCTGGATACCGTTACCTTATGTGCAGTTCCATCTTATGGCTCAGCTCATTTGAGATTTATTCTTATCTCTTTCTAGTGAACAAATGAGCTAGTTTTTAGTACCTTCGCCAAATCCTAAAATTCTACAGGTGCTAGACTATCACAATAGTCCATTGATGTTGCCTTATTATGTGACCACAAATAAATCCCTTTGCCTTTCTGACATTCATTTTTCTCACCTGTTTGGTGAGATTAGTGTGTCTTAAAATTCCAAGTCTATAGCTCTGTGGTTAGGTGATTCTCATAAGGTATGTCTGAAGTCTCTGGAAAATTCTCATTTAGAAGATATTTTTGTACTGTGAACTTAGGGTAGAAACAAATCTTGCTAATATCTTTTCCTAGAGAAATGGTGGTGCATTGTTTTAAGATACTAATAGTTCAGGGTTAGAAGAAATTCTACAGATGGCCTAATTTAACCTCATTTTTTCAGAATTTTGACTCACTGCTGAGTGATTTAGCCAAACTAATAGAGCTAGTTATGGGTAGAGAATTCATTGAAGGACCAGGAACCAAACTTGGGACTCAATGTACTCTTCTCTAGTGCTACCTCCTCCACCTGACATCAGGACACAAAAGATGCTGTGCCTACAGGGCTGGGCCAAGAAAGTTCTCTGAGGAATTCTTTGATGTAGACTTTCATAGCCACAGCATGATTAGCTTTGGTGTAGTTAGACTTTTTCTTTGGAGATGTTTTCTTTACTGAGTGACCTTGAGCAGCGTTCTTTAGTATGTATCTCTGAGTTTTAAAAACTTTTCTACATACTGTTTACTGTAAGAAAAATTTTTATCATCTTTTTGTCATTTCCCCATCAGATATTCTTACATTGGGTCCATAGGCTCCCTGAGTCTGGATAGGAATTACATATAATTTCCTTTATAATTTTAAGTGTCTTGTCTTTTATACATTAACATTTTATGGGACCCTTAGGCTTCAATAGCCTTCCAAAGGGGTCTGTGGCGTAAAAAAAAAGTGAAAAATTAGGTTATGTTGTGGAAAATTGCCAAGATGATAAAATTCTTGATTGAGGAACTAATGACATCATGATAGATTTGAGGATAGAGTACAGAAATATGCCTTTGAAATTCCTTAGGAACATTTTACCTTTATTGAAATGTTTAAAATTGCTTACCAAACTAAGAGACTAAGAACAGCATTTTAGCCACTTTAAATAATGTATGTGTATGTATTGATTTCCATTTATTGTTCCTTGCTCAATAAGTACTTTCCTAGTTTCACCAGAACACTTTCAAGTTTGCATTGGTTTATTGGTGATGATGTACATACTAAGTGGCTCCTGCCTCCCACAATCTTAATTTGATTTCCACATATCCAGTGCTTTCTGATTTATGACTTGGAGTTTTACTTCTGGTGTACTACATCTCATGTTCTACTATAAGCACCTATAATTCGCTATGATCTCAGAAATACAAAATAATTTACATGCCAGGGATTTAAAAAAATTCTTTAGGTTCTTTTATTTGTCCCCAAGGTATACTATGGGAAACTATTGTGCCTTCTTGGCTAATTATTTCCCTTTACTATTTGCAGTTCCATGTTTTCTCTTTTTTAAAATTATCCTTAAGTAGGAGTGACTCAGTATTTGTATATATTGGAAGTAAAAATTCTTGCTTTTACCAGAAAGCATTTAGAAGTTATTTGGTGTCCTATTCCCATTTCTGACACATGAGAAATAACTTTGGTGGAGAATCATTGCATTGTAAAGGGCAGGTGCTTGAAAAATCTCTTGATTAGTGTTTTTTGATACATTGCCTATAGTTGGTACTGAGATGACCTGCGATCTGACACCATTAGATCATAGTAATATCTGTTCTTGCTTTAGCAGAAGAATAAAATTACCTTTTCTTCTTATAAGGTTATTGATTGAGTTCATGTAATAAAAAAGTCAAAATTTCTGGATGTTAAACCTAGCACATTGCTAAATTATTGTCAAAATTGGGGAGGGGAGTCGCACCATCTACCTTTCTTGAGTTTATTTCTTTGTGTGAAAATAAGAGAAGAAAATGATGATTGCTTAAATTCTTTCTTGCTCCAAAATCTTGTGACCCTATGAAATTCTGTGTGGTATCTTGACTATATTTTTTAAATGCTGACTAGTTGAGAACTCATTTATAATCAGAGTCAGTGCTAATATAAAAATTCTTTATATCTGCAAGTCATTGTGCAAAGTTTATAAAAATGTTCTCTAATCTTCGATCTCTTTTCTACTCAGTGTGGAGCCACAGGCCCACACCATGGATATGGCCTGGGAAAATATTAAAAATGCAGAATCTCAGGCCTCTCCCAAACTACTAAGTCAGAATTTACACTTTATCAAGATGCTTGGAAGGTGTATGCACCTGCCTCCCTCATAAGGTCAGCATAAGATGCCAGGTGAAGCAAAGCAATACTTCTCTTGCTTCACTTTGAATGTTATGTTGACCTTATGAGGGAAGCAGGGTATTTTACAGATGTGAAGACTCAGACCCAGAGTTGTTAAGTTACAAAGTCAAGATTATTTGCTAGTATGTCACCTAGAACTCCCTACTGTAAACCTAATGATGTCTTCTTGGTTGGGTTGGTGGAACTCAGATTTCTAAACAGTGCTAGCTGCCAAGCCCATGGAACAGTTGTGGCTATATGATTGTTTTAGCCTGCCAACAGAATGTGACAGGAATTGGGAAAATGTTGTGAGCCATTCTTGGGAGAAAAAATGCACATGCCAGTGCACACACACACAGACACCACCCAGGCAAGTTCCTTCATGCTGTATTCCATTTCCAGGTGGCTGGAATGGAAAGGACCCCTAAAGAAACCTTGAAAATTAGTTTTAAAGGTGCATAATAACTTGGCATCAGGATCACCCCACTGATGACTTTCCACCTGTCCAATATGCATTCACGAACCAGAAATAAACTTTTATCCAGCTTGAGCCATTATACAAATTTGGGTCTCTGTGTTAAGCACTTAGTGTACTCTAACAAATTCACTTGAACAGTGGCTTGAGCCTTAAAGTTGTAAATCCTTTGGCCTAATACATTCATTCATTTTTTGTTTTTGGCAGTTGGTGATCAGCCAGTTGTGGTCCAGCATGCAGAAGTGAGCAAGAGGTGCAAAGCAGCGGAGCTGATGGATGATAAGGATGTAAGTGTGTTTGAAGGCTTCCACACCCTCTACTCCAGGGTAAGGCAAAGGCATTCCCTGCCATTGTTTTTCTGACTTTGTCTTACCTGCCTCTTGGAGTTAGTGCAATGGGATGTCCTGTCTGTTAAAGGCTCCAAAAGCTTTACTGATTTGACTCATAGATCCCGTGCAAATTAGCAAGTATAAAGAAAACTATGAAGGTGATGGGATGGATTCTGTGCATGGAAATATCTCAACTGAGGAATTTTAATGAGTTTGCAAAGGATATGATTCATATAGAAAAGGTTGTTGGGCCTTCCCCAAGTGCACTGTAAAAGAGAAGATGCCACCTGCTTGCCTTTTTCTTGAAACCATATCATATTGTTAGCTTTACTGCCTCATGTTTTCCTTTCCCACTATTTGCCTTCTCCGTGGATGTCTCTCCTTAACTTTTTCTTTACTAAATACTTTTTAAATGAAGAAAATACCTTGATGGGGATTGAAGTTGCCTGATTAGGTGGATAATAGCATAGCAAAACATGTAGGTCTGCCCATTTCATTTTATTTCATCCAGTGTCACTGGAAGTCATGCCTGTTCACACCTCGTGTGTGTAGTGCCTGTGAATGTTGAGAACATCCCAAAGCTGCCTTTGAGTTTGTGTTTGTGCCTAAGATTTTCAACACCAGCAGGAGAAATTTACAATCTGTGCGCCCTTCTCGGAATCCAGGTGGGGGCCAGAAAGGTGGAAAGGACATCAGTTCTTTTCTGAACTTTTCAACTTCTAGAGCTTAGACTCCTTGAAGAGGAAATTATGATTAATATTAATGTAAGCAGAAGTAAGGAAGGTTAAAAAAGAGGGACAGACAGTTAAGAAAAAAAGTACTCAGCTAAAAAGCTGGATGGAAGTGTTTTAAGCAGCCAAGTTCCATACTGTGGAGCCCTTGCTAGATAATGTACCATTACTCTGGCTTAGACAGAGGGTACCCAGAAAGACTAATGTACTTAGGTACTCATGTTGCTCAGTAGTGAGTACAATTTACTGAACAAAATAGAGAATTAAGGGCTGCAGATCTCTGGAGATTCCCATAAATACACATCATTATTGCTCTGGAGTGATGCACATGCTTGGAGATAAGCAAAACAGGGAGAGACGGCTGCAAGCATCATCCAGGTGAGCAGCCCAATGCAGCCCATGGCTCAGGGCCAGAAGGTTGTTAATGAGAGGAACTGGTCTTTGCTAGTTTTTCTTATTATAAGAATGACCTGGGTTTTGCTGGCTTCTCTCAGTTTCCTTAGTGGCTCCCCTATATCTTCCCTTTAAAAAATAAAAAGTACATCATATAAAAAATAGAGTTAATTTGCATGTTTCTGTGTAAATATTATATAATAACCAAATTGCAGTATAGAGGGAACTATTCTTTTTTTTTTTTTTTTTTTTTTTTTTTTTGTTTTTCTCCGGTACCGGGAACCGAACTCACGAGCTTGCGCTTGCCAGGCAGGCACTTTGCTGCTGAGCTAAATCCCCAGCCCCAACTATTCTTTATTGACAGGGTCAAAAGAAAACAATGCTAGAGATGACAGTGCATCAGGGATTCTCAATGTTGGAAGTATTTTGAATGGGTAATTCTTCTGTAGGCTGTCCTGTGCCTTGTAGGATGTTTAGCATTGTCCTTTGCCTCTGTGGATGAAGGCTTGCCTTTGCAAAGTTAAGAAAAGGAAGAGTGGATGAGGCAGAGGGTAGGCTGTTCAGAAGAGCAGTCAAGCAAACTGCACTTGACAAGATGATCTCTTAAAGTGAGTCATACCCAGTTAGATCAAAAAATAAAGGAATAATTGCCAAAAGAAAAATATCTTCCCAAATAACTGCTGATCCAGACAAGTTTTTGAAAATACTAACATAAAGACCAGAGAATGATTAGGAAATCTGCTTTTATTATAGAACTCTTATGATTCTTTCTTTTCTTTGGGGATGTGAAAATGAGTTATCTTCAATATATTTCCTTGAATGGAAAATAAAACGCATGTGGAAAATAATATGGCATGTGTTTTTGTTTTTTTTTTTCTTTTGCTATTCTTCCAATACTACATATTGAAATGGTGAAGAAAGTTATAACTATGACCTAGACCTGAGGTAATCTATATTATTTTAATAGAGAGTCTCAGCTTGACTCTGAAAGGCCCAGTGAAGGGATTAGATATAAACTGTCCTGGCAGGTTTGAGTTCCTACCTCTGTGTTTCTGGTCCCAGTGATTACTAGACTTGCTCACAAAATTTGCATCAGCTGCACTCAAACTTGGATTTAAAATGTGGAGAAGCAATTGTAGACAGCCTTGTTTATTTACATTCTTCCACATACTAATAATCCAATATGTTAAGCAAAACTTAACATGCTTGAGGATTCTGTGTACCTTGGAGAAAGAGACCTTTCCATGTGGAAAGGTGACAAGTGAGAGAAGCTTTGCTTTGGTAGGTGTGTTTTTTTCTAGTCTGACAGAAAAGGTGTGCTCCATAGACCAGCAGCATCAGAATTACTGGGCTGTTTGTTAGAGATTTACAGACCTACTGCATCAGAATCTCAGTATAACTGAGTAATAATCTGTGTTTTATCAAGATCCCTAGGTAATTCTGATAGGTGCTAAAATTGCAGAGCCACTACTTCAGTGGTTTCTGATACAGTGGTATCTTACAAATTGTGTGTGTGTTTGTTGTGGGAAAGGTACTGAGAAAGTATTTTCCTAAGTGATCAGAATATTTTATGAAAGGTTTTCTTGTGCTAATCTCTTGAGTCATTTTCTCAGACCATGGTCTAAGGCTGTTCCTGCATTATGTAGCCACTAGTCACATGTGGCTATTTTTATTTAAATTAATTGAAATTAGAGTTCAGTTCTTCAAGTGCACTAGCCTTATTTCAAATGCTGTATAACCATGTATGTCTCACTGGATTCCGTTTGGATAGTGGAGATACAGAGCATGGTCATCATCAGAGAAAGTGCCATCTGTTGGATGCACTGCTTTAGTCTATAAAGATCCTTATTTCCCAGAAATCCACATTGGTGGTGATTATGTGCTTTTGTTATAACAAGACCTGAACTCATTTAAATAAAATTATTTTAAGAACCTTCTCCATCCTGGGACAATATCACCCTGTGAATATATCTTCCTGAACTTTTTACCTTGCTGCAGTGTCTTTCTGCTACAGAAAGTGCCGTGGGTCCATTTGACATAATCAAATGCACTCTCTCTAAAATATTTGCCCTTTAATCCAAGGCTGCTGAGCTGTCTCTTTCTATTTGGCCTCTCCATGCCCTGACCCTCAGTGGCAAGGCTTGTTTGTACAGGATGTCTCTGTTGATATTGCCTGGAGCTTTACTAAGAATCTGGAAGAAACAACAGGAGAATTCTCACCTCTCCTCCTCTAAGACCTTACTTGGCTCAAAAAAGTGTTTCATAAGAGAGTATTAATTCACAAGCTTAACCTCTGAGGAGTTATCCACTGAAGAATGAGTCTCTGTAGTAAATTTTCCACCAGGCCTATTATAGCTCAGATTTAGTAATTAAGCCCTTTATCAACCTGGAAGAATTTTCAGTTGATATTATTTCCAACATTAGCTGCTCAGGAATTATCCTTATTAGGGTAAACAAAAATATTAGGGAAATAAAGACACACTCTTTAAAAGATATAACTTAAGATGGGCATGGTGGCGTGTACCTGTAATGCCAGCACTTGGGAAGCTGAGGCACGAGGATCATGAATTTCAGTCTAGCTTGGGTTATACAGTGAGACACCAAAATAATGGTAATAATAATGTTAAGCTAACTGAGCCCAAAACTGTTTGGCGTGGTAGAAGGAATGAGAATAAAGAATTGATTTCCATTAATATCAATCCTGGAGGTTAAGGGAAGGAGGGGAATCCGGACTACAATTGATCCCTGACAGCTTTAACTCAACTGATTCACTTCTGATGGGGTACAGTGCTTCTTCTTTTACTGCCTTGTTTTTCTATTTGTGTGTGTGTGTGTGTGTGTGTGTATGTGTGTGTGTATGTGTATGTATGTGTATGTATGTATGTCTGTATGGGTGCTGTGCTGGACTCAAACTGCTGGGTTCAAGTGATCCTCTTACCTCAATCTCCCAATCTCCCAAGCACACACTACCATGTCTGGCTCTTTTTCTGTCTTTTTAAAAAAGTACTCTGTGTGTGTGTGTGTGTGTGTGTGTGTGTGTGTGTGTGTGTATCTGTCTGTCTGCGTGTGCAGTTTTAGGCTCAAACAAAATCTAGAGACAGAGATTTCCTTATTCCTACTCATGCATAGCCTTCCCCATTATCAACATACCCCACCAGAATGGCACATTTGTTATAATTGAGTAGTCTATATTAGCACAGCATAATCTTCCAAAGACTGTAATTTGCATTATAGTTCATTCTCAGTGCTGTACATTTTTGCATTTGGACCAGTGTATAAGGGCAACTGTCCACCATTATGACATCATAATGCTGCCCTAAAAATTCTGTGCTTTGTCTGTTTATATTTCTTTCTTGCTCCCCACCAAACCCATGAAAATCACTTATTTTTAAAATTATTTTCATAGATTTGCCTTCTCCAGAATGTCATGTAGTTAGGATCATATGGTATGTAGTTTTTTTGATTGACTTCTTTCACTTATAAGTATGCATTTTAAAGTTTTTCCATGACTTTTCATTTGAGAGCTCTTTTGTTTTTAGTACTGAGTAATGTTCCAATATCCAGATAGCCCACATTTTATCCATCGACCTACTGAAGGACTTCTTGGTTGCTGTCAAGTTTTGACATTATGAATAAAGCTGTTGTAAACATATGTACGCAGTTTTTTGTACGGATATTAATATTCACCTTCTTTGGGTAAATACCAAGGAACACAACTGCTGGGTCATATGACAAGAGCAAGTTTGTTTTTTATTAACCTCCAAACTATCTTGTAAGTTGTCTGCACCATTTGCATTCCCAACAGCAGTGAGCAAGCGTTTCAGTGCTCTGCATCCTCAGTAGTATTTGTTGTTAGTGTTCTGCAGTTTGGCC